TCTGGAAACCCATTTTTCCTGCTCTCATGAATGGTTCTTTAACAAAACAAGGTGAATTTTCCCTCCTGTGGGTAGCTGTTTTGCAGCTAATGAAGTGTTACCTTGTCACAATGTCAAAGTAGCAGAAGGGGGACTTGCCACGTGGATCTCTTTGGGAACATTAAATATTAAAAGTGCTTGGACCACCAACCATAAAACTCCCTATGCAAGTAGACTACTCGGGTCAGAAAATTCACTTGGCAAATATGGAGATAGGGACAGCAGGTGTCAAGTGCAAGCAAGGACTTTTTCTTCTTCCTAATGCTGTCTTATTCCAACTTTGCAATCCAAAAAGAAAAGAACGAAAGAAAAAGCTTTCAATCCAAATAGGAAAGAGATTTCTGGAAGGATTAAATGATGTCCTGACTCCCGAGTTCTGGTTATACCTCTAATCATGCCTTTGTGACAGAAACATTTGCTGTTGTAATCTTTCTAGAAAATGTGCTCCAGCTGTAGCAGAGAGCCTTAAGCACTGAACACTGAAACACACCACACAAGTGAAGAACAGAGCAGAGAAATTAAAGCCCTCCACTGAATACAATTAGTTTATAACAAGAAACAAATCTGTAATTTAGTCATGGTCGAATGTTTCCTATTTTCTCTTAGCATTCACAGCTCCTTTTTTACAACTGTGCTTTTGTGGAAAGAAGAGTTGGAATTCTCCAAAGTTTTGGGAATATCCTCGCTTTATCCTGAACGCACTTATCTGCTCCCTCCATGACACAGCCTCTAATCCTGCCGTGGATGCAGCGAGAGGAAATGGGCTTCTAATTTCATAGTTGAAGTCAGAAGAGATAATATCTCCTCAGTTCCCTGTGTAAAAATTGCTGTGTAACATAAGCCTCCTGGAATTCTGCTTTTGTTTCCTCAAAAGGATCAGGATGTGAAGACCCATATGGGTGTGGATTATCCCTGTACAGGTTGAAAAATAGAATAGTGGGGTTGCTTGATACTATATAAAATTTTAATAAGAGATGAATCACATAAAGCTTTTCACCGCCTTCCCCTTTTATTCTTAATATATGCTCTAGACGTGTCTGTGGAATACAAGTTTTCAGTGTATGTAGGTACAATCTGATTCATCTGACTTCTTGTAAAGATCAGGGAGGTGTTATTCAGGCAGCTGCAAGGGCAATTCTCAGAGAGTGGGAAGAAACACTTCTAACATGAGCTTTTAAGGGTTACCTCGTTTGTGCAGCGTGTCCAAAGACATCAAAACCAAACTCCAGTAAGAAGCAAAGTCAAGAGAGGGTTAAGGAAGTCAGTGCTGCCTGATGTTAACATCTTTCTTTTTTTTCACCTTTGTAAAAGATAAATGTTTCAGATTTCAATCTGTGGTTCCCAGCAGTGCTTTGGAAACACTGCAGTAGGCCCACAAAAATCGCTAATGCTGGGCCAAGCTGAGATAATGCGTCTCAGCAGGAGTGACATAATGTCCTAAAAGAAGACTATGATGTAATGCATATCTCACAAATCAGAGCCAATTTCCATTAGGAAGCCTTGAAGTCTAGCACTGATACTTCAGTATGCAAAACTTTGTGGGTTTAGATTTTTTTCTTTTTGTTTTTTAAGAATGACTTTGTAAGGCTTATAGCACTTATGCAGTCTGTCTCAGTTACTAGAGAAGCTTCTCTCTCATTCTGCCCTTTCTTGCAATACAGTTGCTTACTGAAAGCCATTAAGCGTTTCACCTTGGTTGAGGTGCCTGTGATATGTTAATATGAACACTGTAATTTTTAACATTAGCATGGATGTTTATGCAGGTGAGGCATGAAGCACATATAATATATTACAGTAAATTCCCTATGCAGGCACTTATTAGACTCACTGATGTCTCATGTAAAAGTTAAGCAGTGTTTGTACAAAGCTCAGTTTTTCTTCAGCTGGTGCAAAACCTCAGTTCTTGGTGGAGTTTGGACTTACTCCCCTGGGTGAGCCAGATTTGGGCCTGTGCAGTTTATAAACCATCACAGTTAGTTTTCCTCTCTTTTATTAATAACCATCTCCACTCCTGCTGCTCAGTGGTCCTGCGGTGCATGAGCCAGTGGGACCAGAAAACAGAGCGCTGGGAGCTGCTGCAAGCCCTATTTCCAAGCAGGGCATCTCTGAGTAAGACTGCTGGGGTCCCATACCTGCCCCAACCCCAGCCACTCACAAATTGGTGGGATGTTCTGAAGAGTCTCACTGTCCCCTTGACCTTCACGGTTTACAATAAGGAGATCACAATGATTCCCAGGCATGTAGCTGTCTCTGGAGATGTAGTCTTGCACCCTTCATACATGCTTTCCAGGATGAGGGCAGAAGTTGCTGCTACTGGCTGGCTCTGTTCCTTGGAGGCAGGACAAAGCCAGGAATCTGAGTCTGCAGCTAGAGGAAAGCCCCTATAGTTCCTGGCATTGGATGGGATGGTAGCAGCTCATGGATGGTAGGATGTGTCTTTTGCTACCTGTGCAGCCACATCACCCTGAAGCCGTAACGTAGCAGGGTATACCCATTCATTGTGCCTTCATCTCACTACTGTCATGTCACTGGAGCTGGACCTCACATGCCTTCGAAATACCTCTAGTTCTCCAGAACTAGTCCTAATCAGGGCTGTGCATTCAGTTCCTGGGGTGGGATCAGGGACCAGAGTCATTTCAGTTCCATCCCAGCCAAAACAGGGATCTCTGAGCCAGAACTTGTCTCCCAGGAAAAGAGAACTGTATTGCAGCCCCTTGCATCAAGCCATAGTGGTATTCTCAAGAATGTATCCTGTGCATCAGAGTCACTTTAAGAGAGTTTGCAGTGGAAACCATAATCTTTAAAAAATGACCATTGAAGTAGCACATGCATGACAACCCTTTAATAGAGCAGGCAGCCATCAGCATGGTTTTGACTGCCATGGTCTCTGTGACAGAGAGCTGATCTGCGCTTATCAAACCATCTCATCTCAAGCAACTGAGGTATTAATATGTAACTTGGACTGGCTCTTGTAAATTTGAGGTTTACCTTTTTGCTTCCCTGTGTTAAGAAATATTGGGAGTGTCAGATACTGAAGGCTTGTGTTTACTTGCCTACGAGATGTGAGGACCCTAACTTACATTCAGCAGGCAAATAAACTTGTGACCTTGTTCTAAACATTAATAAAATACCAGCAGCACCTCAAAGGGAGGGGAAAGTAGGCATCTGCTCCAGTTAGTTCAACACTGGACCTCCTTTTCGTTCAGCATGGTCTGACTGCAGGTGGAGACTGCCTTCTAAAGGAGACTGACCAAGATGCATGGCATCATTAAATTGGAAATGATGTTGGACATGCACCACAACTACACAAGTGAAAGGTGAGTTGCTGTGTCAAATTGTTTTAAAAACTCATTATCATTAATAAATACCAAGCTGTGTTACATGCACCATTTCATTAAAAGAACATAGCCAGAAGGAGAGCTTAATTATCTAGCTCTAGCAAAAAGCTCTAGGGGCGAATGGGAAATGTATAATTATTGTGCCAATATGGCACAAAATTTTCAAATTTTACACCTATATGTATATATATCCATTTTTAAAAAAGTATTTGCCACTTACTTTTAGCAACGGTTACATTGTTTAAATAATTTAAATTTAAGGCAAATTTAAATAAAACGGAAGCTTGAGGCTGATATGCTTAACAAAAAGAGAAGCAACTAGAAACAGACTCTTACAATGGAAAATATTGTGCAGACTTTTTAAAAGGAGGTGCCACCAGTTCTGTCTGAGGTTATAAATTACTCATTTCAGCCTTTGAATCTCACGTTTCACAGGACTGGCAGTACAATGCCTGATGGGGAATGGGCAGCTGGTGGGTGTCCCAATATGGTGTCAGGGCACCTTGTCACAAGTAATGGTTTTGGATGGGGAGGTCTGGGTAACCCTGTCCTGGTGACACTGAGGAACTGGCTGCTGTAGCCACCCACTGCTCGCAGCCAGAATCCTCTCCAGCACATAGCAGAACTGAGATGCACAGCTTTCTCTCAGCTGAAGCCATCCAGAGTATTTATTTGATCACTGACATGCTGCTGAGAGTCTCCGTGCCCTCAGAGGCTCCAGTTTGTGCCAGGGACCCAGAGACATATGTTTCTCCTAGCTGTTGTACACCAGGGTTGACACACCTTCTTCACCTGCAGCTGCCTGTACTGCAGTGTACTGCGGCTTGGGTACATTCAGCTCCTCTAAGCACCCACCAGAAATGCAAAACGAGAAGGTAGATTCTGAGAGCATTGCTGCGGGACTGGGAATAGGTTCTGCTTTATGAAATTAAAGGGGTGCCCAAAGGCATCCTGAGCTGCTACTGTCGCTGAATCCTGCCTGATCAGGACATGGTGTCTCGGGAGGCTGTGATCTGCTCAGCGCTGCCCTCAACGCTACCGCCTGGAGTTGCAGCTGTGATTTACTTTTTTTTTGCAAAGCTGGGGGCAGGTGAGTCACGCTGCAAAACAGCAAAGGAGTGAGAGGCCAGACCTATGCTCAGCTACGCCCAGGTATACCCAGGTCTGCACTGTTTTCAGGTAGCTCCACTGGCAGCCAGAAGCTACTATTTCAGTGATTTGCAATAAGAAATAGGCAGTCATGCAACAGGCAGCCCCTCTGCAGGGGCGCTGGGTGCACAGAATGTTCATGTGTGAATAAATTTTGCCTCAGCAGGAAACTGCAAGCCATTGGGACAGTCACAGAAAGAGAGAGACACATTGTAGCTTGCTGAATTTACAGAGATTCTGCATGCAACGACACAGGACTTCCAAACCTCTCTTAGGCTGACCTCTGAGGGACTTTGGTCTCTGGGAATGGAAGGAAGGCAGGAGGGCTGCAGTGCTGCTGTTGCAGCAAGTTGTGTTTAGGCAGTGCACAGGAGCAAGATGGAGTTGAAAAGGAAGAAGGATCTCCAGACAAAGCATGACTGAGGTCACAGCCTTGCCACCATCCGCATCACAGCAGGTGTGTGGAGAGGCAGGAAACAGCCCACTCCTGCACTTTAGCAACTCTCCACCTTTCTAAGAGGATACCTCTGTCATCTGTTATTTTCCAACTGACTTGCTCTAAAGTCCATCCAGAGAGTTAAGAGGTCCAGAGGGAGGAAACACAAGCACAGGGTGAGATGGCCCAAATTCGAAGCTCCAGCTTCCCAGCTCTCCAGGCAGCAGTGACACGATTGGTATAAGCCACATGGTGCAGCAGAATTGTACTTGGGCACAGCTAACAAAAGACAGTAGAGATTTCAGCTGCAGGAGCATTACACTGGGAGCAACTGGAAGCAATTCTTAAGGTGCCTTTAAAATTATAGCAGAGGGTGTTTTGAGTTCCCTGTGAGCAAAGATAACAGGAATCACTTCCCTTCCTGTCTCAGTTGTGTAGAGTACATGCATTTCACAGCTGCTACATTAGCTAACAGGATCAGACCTATCCAGACATTTAGGTACTGACTTCCTTCTGAGTTCAATGTCATATTGGATATACAAATAAGGAAGATCTTGACGTGTAAATTCCCTTTTTGATCTGACTTCTAGCTTTCCCATTCCAATGTTATCCCATTGCTCTGGCCTCACACCTCTGGAGATATTATAAAGACTCAGAAGAAGAAAAAAAATTAGATACACTCAGCCAGTGGTGCAGTTCTCCAACAGAGGTCCCACAGGTACCCCCAGAGGTAATCAGTTGCAACTCTGCAGAATGAAATCCAGCCCTGGATTATTTTAGCCCTAGATAAAGCCAGTGATGATTAAATAGGCCAATGTTTTTTAAAAATCCATTCACACATCCTTTACATTGAATGTCTGCATTCATGAAGACTACAGGCTCTCTATTCAGTGTGAAAAGTAATATCGTTTGTAATGCCTTCTAAATTTAATGTCATAGATATCTGTTGTTCAGATACTATGGGATAAGGGGGGTCATGAGCTCTCTCTCTCCTGCCCCTCAGAATTGGAATACCTCACTCAAATGCTTTTTAACTCAGCTCCTTGCTCAATTAGGGACAGGCTTCACTGGTCGTGGGTCTTGTAATTTCTCATCCTATTGAACATTTCCATGTAGATCAGTTCTTTTTCCTAAGTAGATCTTGTTGTACCTTAAAACAGGATTATATGGCCCACAGGTCTTACTACTCCTCAAAGTGGAGATGAGAGATTCAGTGAATGGGCAGTCTTGAGAGGCAAAAATGAGAAGTGCTAAAGGTAGTAACTGTTCAGGTAAAAAAGCAGGATGGCAAGACTGAGGTCTCCTCCAAGCAGTACTGCCACAAGAGTGGGGCCACACAGCACATTGCTGCACCAGTGGCACAGGAAGACAGCATGTAGCTCAAAGCAAGCACTGGAATCAGAGCTACCAGGAATGCTGCTGTGCTGCTTTTCCTGACTTAAGATACCAAGGCAAGGCAGTTCACTGCACTAGCACTATACTGCACCCAGAATACATTATTTTCCGTCATCTGCTAGCCCAACAGAGATTACCCTCCACCAAATAACAGGAGGCAACCTTCCTCATTGTACTGTACCAATGCCATTGAAAATTCCCTTGGCACTTTCATAAACCCATAGCACTTCTCCACCAGGTGAGATGCTTCAATCTCTACCATGTAATGTAGCTGTTGAGATTAATTAGGTGCACAAAGCAATGGACTCACTGCGAGCTGCAGGTTATCAGGATACAAGCACTACATGACTGAACAGGAGAACACTTCTGGGACAGAAGATGGCTGGTCAGGTCTATCTGGTGGCGCTGTTTTAGCTGGAGTGGTAGCAGTAGCTACAAACATAAGGGATGTAGGTGAATAGGCCAGCAGTACCACTGGATACTCAAAGATTGTGGTCATCCTGGGCTGGTTCGTACTGCACAAACACATTTTAGTTATGGCCTGACTCTCTCTGCACTGATTAGGAGAGGTACCACCCATTGCACTAAGTTTGTAGTTGTAGATATGTTGTAGACTTCAGCTCTTACCAAAATTAGTCCTATGTGGTTGACAGTACCAGCCATGTTAGTTCCTGCATGGTTCCAGGACTGCTGACATGGGGCAGTTTCACAGTGTGGCTGGGTACTGGCTGCCATGGTCTTAAACCATGCAGTGCCTCCTTAGCCAGTGTAATCCTGGTTGCTGAGTTCATGTCAGATGGGACAAGGTGAATAGGTATTTAAGTACACAAACAGGTATCTAAGGTAAAGAGGAAAAGCCAAAATGTGCTTTTGTGTTGTGCTCTCTGGAATGGGAGTGCAGACAATCAGCACAGGGAATTCCACCTTTTTTGTGCAAACCTGTCCAAGCTTCAAGCCCTGGCTCATTGAGGATCTACTGGAACTACAAGTGAACCTGGCTTCCCCGCAGCTCCAGCTGCAGTAAGCCCACCAGCCCATGGCTCGTCAGGGAAGGCGGGGAGTATGGGACGGCCCCCTCATTCCCCCTGCCCCACCATATTTTAATCCTCCTGCTGTGGTTATCCCTTTTCTTTGTCCTTACTGTAAGAAGTGAGTGTACAGCTACTGGCCATACATCTCTTCTTCAGACCCAGCCACAGAGTGGGTTTCTATCAGCCGAGCTGGAGATGGGGCACTGGCAGAGACTGAAAGCAGTGGATGATATTTTGAAAGGGATTTAAAATCAGAAAGAAAAGAAGCAGCCGATGCTTTGCAACAGGATGTTTGCTCATGGGAAACCCAGGTTTGTGGGTTCTGCGGCTTGCAGACCAGCTTCTTGAAACACAAGAGATGAATCTTCCCTACCTTTGGCTGACTAGTGGAAATGTGAGAGTATGACTTAGAGAGGAGAGGATGGAGAGAAAAGGTGGCTCCTCTACTTCCAAAAATTATTTGCATAAGGGTATTTGCTTAGGTCAATGTTAAGAATTCAAGGGTTTGGATCCTTGGGTTTTGTTTTCTTTAAAATTCCCTGATTGTAAGTAATGTCTGTATGTAAGAGATGTGTACTGTCCCTCAAGTCTCTGTGCTAAGAATCCGTCAGACATGGGAGGGGTGCATGCAGCAGCAATTGCCGAGAATCCTATTTTTGAAGATGGTCTTAAGTCTCTTCTCTGCCATGCTGCAGCTTAATTTATCTTTCACCTGAAGCTTATAACACATGTGTGCTACATCTGCATGACCAAAAGACACTTGCCTATGGTGTCTGGAAGTGGGGGATAAGCCAGTACATTGCCCTCCAGCAGTAAATCAGGGCCACCGGTTGCAATAAGCAAGGAACATTATAGCCATGTCTTTGTCCAACACCTAGCAAAATGAGGTTTACTCCAAGACTGGACTCCAAGTCAGGCTTAAGTTGAAGTAATAAAATAGTAATATATAAAACCAAATAAACCTTAATGGGAATAAATCCACAACTCTGAATTTACCAATACCCAGTATGGGTTCACAGGAGAGGATCGCATGCTTGCTGGGATTTGGTTGAAGCACCAATTTTTTCAAGCACCAGATATTTCAAGGAAACAATTTTGAGGGGAAGGAACTGAACACACATAGATATCTCATGGTTAATTTAGGGTAAAGGTATGGACCTTCCACACTGAGTGTTTTACGAATAGGAGTAGTTGTCATTAGTAGTTGTCATTAGTAATTGTCATTGTCCCACAACCTAGTTAAATCAGAAAATGGGATGAATGGGACAGTGATCTCCTTTTGAGGCCAGACATTTCACCTGCACTCATGCTGGCTGGGGCTTGCAGCTCACTCCTCCGTGAAGCTCTGGATGCCTCATATTACTTGTTGGCCCGAGAAAGGAAACAAACAAGTCAGGCTCAACCAGACCTGCGAGCAGAGAGACGTAAGGGGACATTGTTCTGTGGTAGCAGCTAGCAACGTTTTTTTTGGCACTGGTCCCTGAAGTCGTAGGTTCTGCTAGATCTGCTTTGCCTCTCTGGACTCTGGAAACCCCATTGGACTTGCCATCTTCTCTAGGCAATCTGCAGTCCTTCATTTATTTCATCATTTTCTGCACCCTTGCATCTATTTTGCATGTGAAGTTCAGGTTGTCTTCTTCCATGCCATTGCAGCACTTGACACAAGGAGGTCTAGACCTCTTCCGGGCTTCTGCATTACAAAAATGGAGTTTGTCCCTTCTGCTTGTTTTTGCAAACAAAAATGCGTTATACCAACTTCAGCGGAAACATGCTTCCTAAGAAATGCGGCCAAAAGGAAAGGTCTTACTGCACTTCACCAAAGTCTAGTGAAACTAATGCTTTGTTTAGGTGAGGAGTGGGTGCTCAGCAGGCAGTGGTACAGCTGTACTTTTTGTGCTTTTGGCTTCCCATAAGGTATCCTTTGTTGACTAGATTTACCGCCTACTCTTAAAAGTAGGGTTTAAGTTAGGGTTTAGGTACTTCTAGCTGTGGAAGTAGCAAGCTAGTAGCAAGCTTTTGTCCTTCTCTTCCAGCACACTCCCAGTATGAAGTCAAAGCATGACTCCTGATAGAGGCAGGTTGGGGATGTTTAATGGAGAAGCCCAATGTGGGACAGGAAGCTCTGGTGCAGCAGCAGCTGTGCTGGCACAGGACATTCAACAACACCACAGTGTATGTGTTCCTGTATATGGCAGGGGACATTAGGCAGCTGAGTACCTCACTAGGCAAATTGCTGAGAAAATCTATTCATGCTCCAGGACAGCTATTGAATTTTGAAGTCTTCCCTTTACCAAATGCTTGCCCAGGGCTATAGCTGGACTACTGACAGAGAAGTAAAATGCCATATTAGCACTTCCACACAATTCAGTCAGGATGAGTGGAAGTTGCTACAATACAGCACCTTTACTTTCTACTTATTATTCTTTGGGCAAAGGTGGATGGAGAGCTGTGCTCCTGTGCTCCCTCACTATTGAGTTTGTAAGTGCTTGGCTGGACCTCCTTTGGTCCTTTGGAGAAAGTGCACTTTCTCCTCCAGGTAAATGTTTGTCTGTTTTTCATTTAAATATTAATTTGTGCTGTCACAATGTCACATGTAATATTACCACTCTCTGTGAGGATTAGAGTTATTAGGAGTCTCAGAATTCACTTTAATCAGTCAGTTCAATACTGCTGAGATTTGCAATTTACCCTCTCCCATGCAACAGCCAGAGTTTTTGACACGCTAACAAAGTTGAAATGAGTTCCTTCAT